GGGGCCCCCCCCCCCCCCCCCGCCGTCCCCCCCCAGCACGCTTTGTGGCTGGTGTGAAACCTCTCCAGAGCAGAACAGCCGGAAGGGGGGGTTCCTGTAGCTCATCTGGTGTGCTGGGACTGCATTGCAGGAGAGATTTCACCCCGCCCAGCTCCAGGACAGGTGGCACCTGGAGACCTCCCGCTATTACAGTGGGTCTCCAGACGACAGAGATCCGCTCCCCTGGAGAAAATGGCTGCTCCGGAGGAGGGTGGGCTCCGTGGCCTGATACCCTGCTGAGGCCCCTCCCCTCCCCAAGCCCCGCCCTCTCCTGGCTCCACCCCCCCCAAAGTCTCCAGGTGTCTTCCAACCCAGAGCTGGCAACCCGGGGGTGGTGGTGGGGGGAACGTGGGCCCCTTGCTGGCAGCCTTCTCCCCCTTCCGCCCAGCCGAACTTCCTGCGCCGTTTCAGGCGCTCCCTGGGAGGGGGCTCCCTTCTTGGACCCCTCCTCCGCCCTCCTGCCCGACAGAAGTGCCGCCCTTGCAGGATTCCGCTCCCAGAAGGCCCTTCCCCTCTGCCCTCTCTGGCCACCTGAAACCAGGATGCTCATTCAGCAAACAGTCCCTGTGGTTTCAGCCAGGCTTGGCAAGAATGGGATTGTGGGGTGGAGCGGAGGTGTGTGGAAGGGAGCCTGCTGGGGACCGCAGGGAGGGCGGTTTGCCTGCCCCCTGGCTGGGGGCGGAGGGGGGAGTCTCTGGCTCCTCCTCCTGGGAGGGTTGAAGAGAGAGAGAGAGAGAGAGAGAGAGCAGCAGGCAGGCATGCACGCACACGGAAGTTAATCCCCAGAGTCAAACTCTGTGGGTCTTAGAGGTGTGCACTCCCATGAAAGCTTATACCTAGAATTTAACTTCATGTTATCGAAGGCTTTCATAGCCGGTTCATTAGTTGTTGTAGGTTTTCCGGGATGTGTGGCCGTGGTCTTGGCATTGTGAGACATTTTGCCAGCACCTGTGACTGGCATCCTCAGAGGTATAACTCAGAAAGACGGAGCACTCTCTGTGTCTCTGTGTCACATTGATACAGCGCATACTCCCTCTTTCCGTGTTATGCCTCTGAGGATGCCAGTCACAGCTGCTGGCGAAACGCCAGGTACTACGATGCCAAGACCACGGCCACACAACCTGGGAAATCTACAACAACTGAGGAATTAAACTTTGTGGGTCTTAAAGGTGTGCATGCACAATGAAAGCTTAGCCCCTGAATCAAACTTTGTGGGTCTTAGAGGTGCCACCGGACTCAAACTTTGTTTTGCTGCTTTAGACCAACACGGCTGCCCCACCTGAGTCTCTCTGCCCCATGGGTTGCCAAGCTCGCCCCCGGGACCCCCCTTGCAACAACCACAGCCCCCCCCCCCAGCACCCTTTTGCTCCCTGGGGCTTGTTGCAGAACAAAGGAGAGACCTTGCGTTGGGGCCAGGGGGGGTCCGTTAGAGGGCCAGAGTGGCTGGTGCCCAGCTCTGAACACCCTCCCTGGCTGCCTCTGTGGCCTCCTGGCTCTGAAGGGCCCTGACCCCAGTGTTCCCTCTAAGCTGAGTCAGTGTGAGCCAGCTCAGTTTCTTTAGCCTCCGGCTCACACATTTTTGCCTTAGCTCGGGAAGGATGGGGCTCCAGAGCAAACTAATTCATGCAGCGGCCAAATCTCTCGCTCACAACTTTAATGCCAGGAGCTCACCAAGTAGAATTTTTGCTCACAAGACTCCACAGCTTAGAAGGGAGCATTGGCCCTGACCAGAAGAACAGAAGAAGAAGAGATTGGATCCATACCCCATGGCCCTTCACTACCCAAGGGAGGCTCAGAGCGGCTTACAAACCCCTTTCCCTCCCCCTCCCCACAACAGACACCCCCTGTGAGGTAGGTGGGGCTGAGAGAGCTCTGACAGAAACTGCTCTTCTTTCAAGAACAGCTCTTATCAGAGCTACGGCTTGCCCAAGGTCATCCAGCAGCTGCGAGTGGAGGAGGAGTGGGGCATCAAACCCGGTTCTCTCAGATTAGGGTCCGTGCACTTCACCACCACACCAAACTGGCTCTCCATGCGACACAGACCTTTGGTGGCTGGACACCCTGGCACACGAGTGAGGGGCAGCGTGGGGAGGGGCAAGGTAGTGCCGCTTCATGGGGGATTTAGCCGGAGGGTCCAGTGCAAGAAGGTACCCTCCCCTGGCCCTGCAGGGGCTCCGTTCTGTGATGGCTGAGCAGGAGGGGCCTTGCTCTCCCTCCCTCGGAAGGCCTCAAGTGAGGCCTGCGGGAGCAGTGGTGTGCCCCTGTGTTTTTTCCCTCCCCCCCCCCCCCATCTGCTTCCAGCAGAAGCAAGCGCCCACCGTTTCCCCTTCCTCTTGGCTAATTTGCAGCAGACACTCCTGAGATAGCGAGAGGGGGCCAAAGTTGGGGTGGGGGAGCGGCCGAGAGACACTTGCGGCCAGATGTGGGAGGGGAAGTGTGGCAGAGGGAAAGGGCACAGGAGAGGCGTGGGGGGAGCCCCCCTTACCCCCCCCCCCCGAGGGGGGGGGGGAGCCCCCCCTCCCCCCCCCCCCCGGCTGCCCCATGGAGCAGGGGGCCCTCCAGCCTGCCCTTTCTCTCTCCTAGAAGGAGATAGCCGGTGGTTGATCCCACTTCTCCCCCTCCCCCCCCCACACAGGTCTTCTTTCTGTATCGTTTCTCTCTGTGCTCTCTTCCTGGCCTAGTGGCAACTGACCCGACCCCCCTGTTCCCCCCCCATGGAACCCTCCAGGCTTTACCCAGGTTCTCTGGGGGGGGGGTGGAGCAAGGGGTCCCTTAGTGTCCTTCCTCTGCCTGCAGGCAGAAGCCCCCCCTTCCCCCCCCTTGCTCCAGGGTTGGCTTCTGGGAGAGGGTTTGATGAA